TTGCAAATCAAACATTGTTGCAAATAGCTTCTCGCGGGACTTCAACAAAGTTGCAAGTTCAACATTAAGCGGTTTGCAACTTTGTCGAATTCCCGCGAGGGCCGATTTGCAACATTGTTGAACTGGCGACTTTGTTGAATTTCGGGAGGGGCGATTTGCAACATTGTGGAAGCAAGAAATATCATAGATGTGAGGCGAAATTATAGGGAACTATACCAGGAAGTAAAGGGAAATATACCAGAGAATGGAGGAATATTAAAGAGGAATATATGTAAAGTAATGGAGGGAAATTAAAGGGAAGTTTACCAGGAAATTGAGGGAAACTAAAGGGAAACGTGTAAGCAAATAAGGGAATTGAAGGGGAATGTACCAGGAAATGTAGGGGGAGTAAAGGGAAATGTGTAAGAAAATGAAGGGAAATTAAAGGGAGATATCACAGGAATGAAGAGCAATTAGAGGGGAATATCACAGAAATGAAGGGAAATTAAAGAGAAACGTGCCAGAAATTGTAGGGAACTTAAAGGGGTATATGTCAAGAAATTGAAGAAAATTAATGGGAAGTGTGGCAGGAAATAATCGGAAATTAAAGAGGAATCTCAGGTGGTGTCAGAAGGTATTCGGGGATTTTAGAGGGTGTTTGAAGGCATCAGGAGGTGTTAGGAAGTGTTGGGAAATGTTAGATGGTGTTAGAGGTATTGTTTGGAGATGTCAGGAGATGTGTTAGAAGGTGTTAGGATATGTCAGGAATTATTAGAATATGTTAGATGTTAGATGTGCCCCTGTTATGCGGCAACCTATGTTAGCCGGTTTGTCGAGTTGGTTGTCATCTCGTAGCCGCAAAGATGCCCGTGTTATGCGGCACCTAAACTAGCCGGTTTGTCGGTTCGGTTGTCATCTTGTAGTCGCAGAAGTCCTTTATTATGCGGTAACTTCTACTAGCCTGTTTGTCTGTTCGGTTGTCATCTCGAAATTGCTGAGAAGTTTCGACCATATGGTCGAAGTACAACCCTTTAGTTAGTGGCGCCATGTAGCAGCAACTTTGAGAACTATTTTCACTACTAACTTGGACGTTTTTTCACCGATGCCAGCACTGGTTCTAAAGTTCGGTAATTGTCGCTGCATTTATTCATAAAATGCTAAATTTTGCATATTAACTAATACGTTGTTGTGTTATAAATCAAGGAATCGTATGAATTATTCATTATTTATGATAAGTAAAGAATTGACTAAAAGGTTTCGCTGACGTGGTATGTTAGTTTTATCTATCTCCCACTAGATGGCGGAACACCCTATGAAATGTTGAATATTCTAATCATCTGTGAGCACGATCAATGCCAGTTATAGCAGAAGATTGTTTTCATACGTTCACGTGTGTTTTAATTTTGTATCGTTTTACACTGTTAGAAACATTTCGTTATATTACTTTGAATTACAAATGGCGCGGAACAATGATACTGTCTCGTTTATAAGCACACCTGGCTTTTGTTCCGATTGTGGATCAATTTTGCCTCTGTTGAATGACTACGGGGATGTTAAATGTTATGGTTGCAAACGAAGCTGGGGTCCTGAAGGTACTCGTTACCTTTATTACTGTTTGTTACGAATACAATTAAAACCTGCTATTTTTTCTTACTGGTTTTCAAATTGTATCTAATGTGCTATTATTTACTTTAGCTTTCGGAGATATGGCAATGTCTTATACTATCCATTTTAACGATAAAAATGTTTATGGATCTACTAAACAACAGGAAGACAATGAAGATGATGCAGAAGGTCCAATAGTTGAACGAAAATGTCCACAGTGCAATAATGATAAAATGTCATACGCTACCTTGCAGTTGAGGTCTGCAGATGAAGGACAAACTGTTTTCTACACATGCACAAAATGCAAGTATGTTTCTTTTATTATCGAATGTTTAGAAGAATGAATTCAAGGAATACACTTAGTTCATATTATTTGCAGCTTCTGTAGTAGTATTAATAGAATTATTTCAATTGAATTTTATAAAGCATTTTTCTCAGCCAATGATAGTACAATGTAAATGTGTGTATACTTTGCAGTAACAGTAGATTATATAGAAACATGTAATATTTTTTCCAGATACAAAGAGACAGAGAACTCTTAATATAAATTCACATTGCACATTTGAGAATTTCCAAGAGTACTAACAATTTGATCAATTACTCTGGGGCAATCGTCGAAACATGAACACTCTTTGTTAATAAAACATAGAGCTTTATTCATGATACACTCAACAAATATCAATGAAGGGACAATAATAATTTCATAATACCGCTGGATTATCATTATATTTTTGTCCTATTTATGTGTGGTTGGGTACTTTTAATTATGTATTTTTTAATTGTATATACTCGATTAAATATTTTGTACAATATGTCGGAATGAAAGTTAACAATTAGTTTAAGAAATTTCTGTTAATTCGTTCTCGAAACCATTACAGTGGTCCTTTCATTATAAAATCGACGTATTTAAAGAGTTTGTTAGTACATTGCTTAGACTATGGATAGACTTAATTGTTACTAGTAGTCGCAGTATCATATTTTTAATAGTAAAGAGAAATAGATGAGCTATATTACGTCCAGGAATTTTTTTAACAAACAGCCCATTAATTTAATTATATACACGACGAGAAAGATCTTAAACTACGATAGTTGAAGGCTTCGTTATCCTAACGTTAATAAAAACCAACAAGAAGAAATTTATTTTTATAATCAAACAATGTTCTTTAACGATTATATTAATTTACACAATCTACGGTTGTGCATTTGTATATTTATAACATAAAACAACATAGCTAACACTAGCAGCTCGTATCACATAAACGATTGTAAAACAATGAAAGCTCTGTTAACGGTTATATTAACTATTAATAATGTACGAGTCGTGCACCATCACCGATCATTTCTAAACTAAATAAAACATTAAATACCATCAACAATATCATTGCATATGTTTCTTTGACTTCCTTTCCTTCCTGTTTTTATAAACATCCTACAGACAGTTAATAATCATTTACTTCACATCCTTCATTTACTTCCCAATCTCACATGCCTCGCATAAAACAACGAAACGAAAAAGGAAAACACGGTTTTACGATTTATTATTAAAAGAGCGACCTTTGTCATCGTCGCGCAACGTTTAGCAATGTTTCCTCGTCAACAACGAAGCATTTGACACCTCTTGTTTCCCTCAAAGGTGTCAAATCTTCAGGGAACTAATCTTTCCGCGGTGTTCCTTCTCCATGTTTCCTTTATTATTTATAGAATTCTCTCGTGTAGGGTTCGTTAGGCCTTCGATCTTACAGACGGAACTGATCTACTCGAGAAAAATATATTAAAACAATTCTACTGATCAGTCTACCGATGGAAATTAAACGAAGATGAACATTTGTAAGGTACATTTATAAGGGGTTGATTTAAGGTTGATTTTTGTCATTTTCGTTAGCACTTTCGTACACTTGCTATTGCAAATACCGACTTAAAATATCGTTGCGATACAATTAACCCTATTTGCTGTATCATCAGAAAAGAATTCAGACCAAATTTCAACCTTGGAGTTCTGAGATTGTACTCCAGACGGGGGTGGGGGTGGGGGGGGGGGGGGGGGCGGGGCTGAGCTCACCCTCTCATCAGGAAGCACGAGGAATGGGAAGGAACGTTTATTGTACTCGGGATTCTTCACGTAGAGTGTACCTATTTAGTTTTCTCTCTTGATTATATACACTAACGCTTCATATTACATATTGTACATCGAGTATGTACAAATGACAAGGTATTTACAGGTGGAATGTGAGGCAGGTGACGCGAAGGATCTAGATTGTCGTTTCTCATCGATGCTGCGATCATGAGGCTTCGTAACACTCGTCCAAGAAGTTCTCTAATGAGTGATACAAGTGGGACCTGGACTGAGCGATCCCGTGGTCCTCGTCAGTGTAGGTCTGCACAGAAAATGAAAATTGTTAATCCGAGTATTCCTAGACAAACTTTCGTATACACAAATTATTAAATTAATAAGCCGCTGATGTATTCAATCTACCAATTTATTAATTTATCGTATAATCAATCAAGATGATCTATATCATTTTAATAATAATAGTTCTCAAAAAGGAGACAAGGATTAGATTCTTGAGGCATTGAGATTTATTTAACGACGGTCCCTTTATTCTTTTTAAAAGTCCGAGAACATAGTTAGCGTGCTCAATGAAACAATGAAGCCCCAGAAAACAGAAAATGGGTGGCAATATGATCGCGGCAAAAATATGCCAGTCTCGTCTCGGGGTCGCGATTATTATTTAAATGAAAAGCCTCTGTGCGAAACTTGAATACGCGACAAAATTTGTTTACGAGTACGCAGTTTTCCGCCTCGTTCCGTAGATTATAATCGTCAACGTTAAACATTGCGAAACGCAAAGGAAGCACGTACGCGCACGTCGACCGAAATAATTTTCTACCATTTCGGGACAATGTTCATAAATCGTTCACCGTTTGAAGCAATTTTCTGTTAAAGCGTTTAACTACCCCGACCCCCGAAAAGACGAGTTAATCTTTGTGAAATTTCAACACGAGGACAGTGCAACGTGGAAAGCTGCCATTATAATACACGAATGAGTACATTTTGAAGCGTGGTTTGTACAATTTCTGTCGAGAAATATTGGAAAATCTTGGACATTTTGGAAGTGAATAGCGTTTAGAAAAATATCGATGCGACGACATTGTTGGATATTTCTCAATACAAATTTTAGAGTACACTTCAGAGTGTATACATCAATGCATTTGAATTTGGGGTTCCTACAATGTCTAGTTTTGGTATTAAACCTTCTTCAAGTCGATCTGTTCAGAGAGATCAAGATACTCAAAGTTACACGTTAAATAAAGTATTTACTTTACGCTCTGTTATCAATCTCTGGATACAAAAAATATTTAACAAGGGAGATAGCTGCGAAACGATCCTCTTGATGCAACATATTAGCTTACTAAAGTTTCGTCGTCATAATTATAAAGTTAACGACGTACCTGTTGTCGAAACAGTATATCCTTCTGCTCGAGAACCTTGGCTAGCAGCAGAGATTGTTGATAGTGCACGTTGTCGTCTAGGGTCCCATGGATCAGGTAGTACATCTTCGTTTTAATATTGTCTACTTTGTTGAGGAGTTGGCCTTGCTCGTAGCCGTGGAGATTGTCGTAAACCGTCGGCAAACCCATGAACCTCTCCGTGTAAATTGAATCTGCACACAACAGTAATTGCGAAGTTAGTTTCTCATTCGTGATCCTTTCCACTTATTCTACTTCGTTTCATTCCAGTCATCTTTACATTACATACAAGTCTCTTTCAATCATGACCCTATACTTTTCTTAATTTATTTCCGAATATCTACTTTCTCAATCTCCAAACGGCCAACTTGTTTTCCCAAGTGACCATTATACCCTCCGCGTTTAACATTTCTCGACATCCCAATGTATCGATATTTCAGTTTTCCTGTTCTTCAATTTCCCGATCTCCCATTTTCTAGTTTCCTTTCTACGTCACTTATAACTGCACCTTGCAATGGAACTTTCATCGTCGTTATATTCTTCTACGTTATTCTTTGCGAGCGGAATCGCAATTAATTCCACCGTTTAACATTCCCAAACACGACAATCGCAGCCGTTTAACGATGTCTTCGAAAGATTTAATTAAATACCTAGCCAGACGGTCAGCCGTTTCAGTCGTTCCCTAGCGATCGCCTCTGCGACGAAGGAAACGCAACGAATGAAAAACGCCACGCTTTCCGCGTAATTGTGCCCCGTGAATTACACCCAGCGTGCTACTTAATTAATCCGTGGAGGTTGCCGGGGAAAATTGCTTCGCGCCTATAATACGTCCGTGTTCGCCGCGAATGCCAAGGATATTAAGCTTTCCCGCCGTTTCGGAAGCAACAATGGCCAGGTTCGAAGTAAAATATTGTTGAACACTTGCCCACTGATACCCCAAATGACATTTTTAAACAAAATTAAAAGAAGATTGACACCACTCGGTACTATATTTCTTACAAAAATATCCTTCGAAATAATAAATGAATTTACTATTATAGTCCAAGAGCTCGCGACATAAAATTTCGGTCAATTTCATTACAAATATCCTTTTGCTATCTGCAAATTTTGCTATTCTACTAAAGAATAAAAATAATCCAAGGCTGACAGCGCACAAACGGTGCATCGCTTCGCTAAAAAGTCGTAAACATGGAAGAAATAACAGTATCTTTGACTGAAATCATTATTACTGAAATTTTTAGAATGTATTGTTGACATACCAAATTGCATAAAAAAGTTGGTCTGGCAGATTGTAAGCGGTGCTAAATGGGTCTGGCAGTCGGAAAACCTTGTCGAAAGAACGAAGTAGTTCATTAAAACATCTAATAAAACTATCAAGTAACCGATATCATTATTTCTGAAACTTTTTCTATAAACAATATGTAATGCATAGTGTTAAAAAATTTCGTCTGGCCATTCTTTGAGTGGTGATAAATCGGTCTGGCAGCCGTTTAAAAGAATATTGCTGCGATGATTTTTATTTCATACAATTATTATTATTATTTAACTTCGAAATAATGATTTCAGTCGAACTACTTTGTTTTTCCGACTGCCAGACCCATTTAGCACCGCTTACAATCTGCCAGACCAACTTTTTTATGCAATTTGATATGTCAACAATACACACTAAAAATTTCAGTAGTAATGATTTTGGCCAAAAATCAAATTATTATAATACGCTATAGTGAAGCGTTGCACCACTGAATTCATACCAGACCAAGCATTTCTGAACTAGGGAGACATACCATCTTCGGAAAACAGGTTCGTTTGTGTAATGAAATGACTCACCCATATCTGTCGCGGGCTCTCGGACTATTAGGTTGTCCCGAAAGTTTCTTTCGTTTTATTGCAAGAGGTCCGCAGTTGTTTCAACGACGCCGAAATGCATTCGGCGCAGCCGATGCAGTGACTTGTGCGACTGCTCGTCGAACTCACCTCAAGATCGGTCGGAATCTCGTCTTTTATATACTTTTTGCGTTTTAAGTGTTTCTTTATGTTGCGCGCGAACTACTTTGGTTTAAATAATAATATATTATAATAGCTAATTTTACGTGCAGGTTGTTTGAATCCTGTTCCGCGCCTGCTCCCGTTCCCTGACACCTTACATTATTAATAATTAATATATACACAATATTTTATATTTTACGTTACATTACTGAATTGTGTGCGATTCATTTCGCCTCATCACTGTTACAGCATCAATGTCTAAGAAATTAGATTGTCTATTTCTATAAACACTGCCACAGAAAACAATTGAATGCAACTCACGAAAGAAACTTTTCGGACAACCTAATACTTTCTGGACAGAATTTGTGTACTTTGTCTAACCTACTTAATTTCCTGCATTCCATTTTCCTAAAGAGTTAAATTCAATCCAGGTCTGCGTCTAAAGCCCTTAGTCCGATCATGATAATGGGAACCGAGACGGAGAAAATGCCTGTGGCTGAAAGGCGATGAAATTTCATCTACAGAAGGGAAGACTGTGTGTTCTGGGGAGCGACGTGAAAAATGATAGAATCATTTTACATCGCGTTACGAATAAACGCTTTTAATAAAATGTTTGCTTTGGATGATTTATAGCGGCCAACTACAGTACCGCTCCTGATTTTCTCGCTGGGAGAAGGGAAGGAGTGGGTTCGTTTCTATCTAAACAGGCACCTCAGTGATTTCTTCGAAAACATTCAAGGCGTATCCTTTAATTTCGTTATTTTCACGGATTCTGTCTCTTTGGATTCTATTAGGTGAACCGCAAAGTAATGTCGTTTCTTTTACATTAAATTCAAACAAATATTTTATGAATTCCTATTTTTAATTATTAATTGCATAATCACTCCTGTTATCAATAGCCTTTGCTATTCTATCTAGTGTGCAAATTGTTAATGCCAGATCGATAAAAATCAATGAGCTGATGAACGATAAACAACTATTTAAAATTGCAAAAACGACATTATTTTCCGGTTCATCTGATGTTTATCATATGAAAAATAAAAATAAAAATTCAAATCTTGAGACGCGTTGTTTTGTTATCGATATCCTCGCCGTATACTGGTACGTTTTATTTTACGTTAAGCTTGTTACGTTGGCGATGAAGTCGTTGAATAAATAAACGAAATAAGTCTCAACTTGTTGCCTCGTTATCGATCGAAATAAATAAGAAAAGAAAATTATAAATACTCGGTAGCAGCTACTCAGGTGAACCCTGCCATAATGTTGTAAGGGAGGCGGGAAAGAAAAAATATTATCTACGATCAATAGCTGGGGGATGGAGATGGGACTTGGAGGGTTCTCGACGGAGAAAAGGAAAAAAAAGCTGTGGCGTTAAAAATGTGCATCGACGACGACGACGGAACGTCTGTATGCTCGACTCGATTCCATACGATGACTCCTTATCGAGCAAATAAATCTGATATCTCGAAGCTGCAAGCACAGTTGACTGCGACAAGCTTCCGGCGATGATTGAATCCGACGAAGTCGAATCGAACTGGCGACGCGTCCAAGTTCTTATCTTCTCCCTTCTTTCGGTTGATTTGCTTCGATATTTAAACTACTAGCGTGAAAATTGTTCCGAGCAAAACTACGGTGCTAGATATGTTTTATTTCAAGTTCGCAAGAGCCTAATTGACCTGGTTATAAAAAGAGAACTAATAGGTTGTCCCAAAAGTTTTTTCTGTGACTTGCACTCAGTTATTTTGTGTGGCAGTGTTTATATAAATAGACAACCTAATTTCTTAGATGTTAATGTCGTAACAGCAATGGAGCAAAATGAATCGTACCCAATTCAATAATTTAACATTAGACATAAAATATTGTGCATGTATTACTTATTAATGAAATGGAAGAAACTTTTGGGACAGCCTAATAGAAACCTCCTAATCGAACTGCAAAGCAAAGTTAAGAGTGTTTGGATGCCACAGCTTTCGTGAATGAAAGGATCGTTTTCGCGAGAAGAGCTTGAATGAAAATATTGTCTCTTGTATACGTACCGTAAAGAGCCCAATCTGTTACGGGTGCCACGGACATGCCGCACTTGAAGACACCGTCATAATCCTTGGCGAGCGTCATGCCTGTCGCGTACCCGCCATAACTCCAGCCCCATATCGCTGTCCTGGTACGGTCGATGAAATGGAGCGTCTCTTGTAAATACCTGCAACCAGCGAGAGGGAATCGTTGACGCGCGAAATTGGTCGTTAATAACACAGAAACCCGAAACACGGCGTGATTTAACAGGAAACCAGTCCTCGTTCTCTGGCCAATCTTTCGCTTTAGTTCCCTAATGGTAGGTCGCGTCTGGGGGCTCAACAGGCTGATTGATTTCGGAGGAGCACAAGTCCGCGGAAAAACTGTAGGAATTCCGAGGAGGAACCGAGAAGTCGATTGATCAAAGTTGACGGGCACTCGGACGATTCCACCTTGGATACGCGGAACGTTTCTACGAAAGCTGTATGGTGCAAAGGGGGACGTGACACGAAGTAAAATAATTTCTTCGTAAGTGAAGTGGAAAAATTGCCACTTTTGTTGAAGGGGCGATGAATATTTTTATGCTTGATAAGATATTTGTTTAGATAAATTCACTATGCGAGGTTATTTATTGTAGTAGAAAGCCTTGAAGATTTTATTCAATCGATTTCTGGGCCTACGAGGCGGTAAAAAGCACTAGTCAGTCTGTAGTGTCGGCTGCCGCCTCGCAGGGGCACTCTCTGCGCCTGCCATGCGGCAGCCGACGCTACAGACTGACTACGACTGGTTGCCGTCTCGTAGGCGCAGGGAGTGCTCCTGCCAAGCGGCAGCCGACGCTACAGACTGACTACGACTGGTTGCCGCCTCGTAGGCGCAGGGAGCGCTCCTGCCAAGCGGCAGCCGACGCTACAGACTAACTACGACTGGTTGCCGCCTCGTAGGCGCAGGGAGCGCTCCTGCCAAGCGGCAGCCGACGCTACAGACTGACTACGACTGGTTGCCGCCTCGTAGGCGCAGGGAGTGCCTCTGCTAGGCGGCAGCCGACGCTACAGACTGACTACGACTGGTTGCCGCCTCGTAGGCGCAGGGAGTGCCTCTGCTAGGCGGCAGCCGATGCTACAGACCGTCTACGACTGGTTGCCGCCTCGTAGGCGCAGGGAGTGCTCCTGCCAAGCGACAGCCGACGCTACAGATTGACTACGACTGGTTGCCTCCTAATAGGCGCAGGTTTTATAGTATACTAACTACTAACTAATTTAATGCTTCATATTACAATAAATAACCACAATTAATAGGTTTAAGATTTTTTCTAAAACAAATGCGATCTGATTATCGCGAAAAGTATATAAGTTGTTTTATTTAATGCAGTTTAACAACCTAATGAAAATAGTAACTTGTCAAGGAATATCTAAATGATTCTATAATATTATTTTCTTCAGATTTATCAGACTTCCGGGTACTTTGCATGCGATATTCGATCAAGATTCCTTTAGGACCGAGTTGAAGCATCTCCCTGATATCTCGGGTTTGAAATAAAAGATTTAAAAAGTCCTTAGTTACTTTGTGCCTCGTTTTCCATCGAAGTATAAAGATTGACTGCCTGTTTTACGAGTTCCCTGGCAAGAAGGAACATCCGATTCGCTGTCGCTATACCTCAGTCGAAGCACTCGTTCCCTCCGAGATCCATCTTCATCGTACCAACACAAGAACCTTGGACCCGAATGCATTATGCATCCGGGCGGACGAGCACTTAGGACAGCGAGCGACATTTATTTTAGTGGCCGATTCCTTAAGAACGATTTTTATGAGCTCCTCGGGCAGAGAATCATGCGGTACTGCCAGCTTTCAAATTTAACATTTCTCTGTTACCACCAGGTAAGGCGATCCTAGCGTTCACGGCACGTGGCATAATGGCCATTTAGGAGTTTTTTTTTTCTCTAACCTCTCCTCCCTCGTCGTCGTCGCATCACGACACAGCGAATATAGAAATGAGGCTTTCCGCGAAGATAAGATTTCAAACAAGATGACACCAGAATAATAAGGTCCATCGAGTACGATTTTCGGATGCTTTGAGGCTAATCCAAGGACAATAGAACAATCTGATAGGAACCCTCGGCTAGAGTATGCGTGCTAAATCAGGGACTCTCCCTGGAAACCAAAAAGCACACTCTGTTTTAACAACGGAGCTTCCTGTTTTACCGATAGCCTGCTCTGTTCTAACGACGGAGCTTCCTGTTTTACCGATAGCCTGCTCTGTTTCGACGGCAAAGTTCCCTAGTTTGTCGACAGTGTACTCTGTTTTAGCTACAAACTACTCTGCTTCACCGACCATCGAGTAGAAACAGGACAGATCTAGGTTCAAATGTGAGTTATACTTGGTCAGGGGTTACGAGCCAAGTATCCTGCGTGTTTTCGTTGCAAATATCTTGCGAGAGTAACGATTTCGGTGCGATCAAAGCAACGATCGCGATAATGTTGACGAGAACGGTGGAAAGGGGAAGACGGATCCGCAGCGATGCTCGTTGAATTCGAAGAGCGGTCAATATAACGGTCAATTCCCCGCCGAACGGTCGACAATGGGCCGTCGCATCAGCAGGAAACTTTTCCAAACACTTTTCCACGGTGCATTCGATTTCCTCGGCTCGAGACAATACGTGATTTCCGATCGGAAAGGGTAAAAGAGCTCGTACTCCTTTCTTCCAATCTTTCCCAGCTATTGTCTCCCGTATCTTGCGTGTTCAATAATAATGGTTCCACGGGGAACCGTGGCGGCGGCCACACTGTTGCCCATAGAAATGGTAGAGGCTCGCCCCCGACTGTGTTCCTTTTTTCTCGAAATTTATTTAGCTCGTAAATCGAGCAAACCCGCCCCGCTGAATTCTATTCCGCCGGCCAACGACGCTGCTTCTGCACGAGCATCGATTTTCAGATAGAATTTCATTTTTCCGATGGTCGAGATGCGTTGCATTGTCTTCGATTGGACCCTTTAACAGCTCGTGGCTGGCTATCTGCGGTTTAGAACGAAATTTTCACCGAACGTGATCCGTGTCAATTTATTCAAGCTGCATTTTCTTTGATACTTCAGTTGCAGGTGTTTACAGGTGCAGATTTTTGTTTAGCGATTCAGTATATATTTTTAAACGTATATAGATATAATTATGTATCAATGTATCACAACATGAATTAACACGAACAATTAATGCTTCACTGGATTATACCACCAGCAACAATTCCATTTGTTTTCCAATTTTAATCTCTTCGTTTGTGCGTATTGTCGATCGCCATCCTTTGTCCCGCAATAAATTCGAAAAGGTTACGCTGGCAGATAAAACAAATCGAGTGTCACCGAAAATTAAACACTGCGTTACAAGTGTTAACTGTGCACGTTTTTTTTTTTTTTTTAATTTTTAACAAAGGGTCACTAAGGTTCAAAGTGTTTGCACGGTAAAAACATGATGAATTGAAACCCGAGACTCTCGAAAATAATCGAATCGTCCTTTTGTTCCGATGAACGCGTCCACTTTATCTTCTGCGTCACGGGTGAATCCTCTTTTTTACGCTTTTATTGCTGCAAATTCGCGGAATACGTTTGCATCGCGGAGAAACAATTACGCGACAGCGTTAAATAAATAGAGCGTAATCTCTTTCACGCTCAAATCGAATTTCCCGTGGAAAGTTCGCTTTCTATTCGCGTGCTAGATATTTTTATCTTTCGTCCTTTCATAGATAACTGATTGTTTTATTAAGGGCGCCGCAACGTTTGCTAGGTCGACTGTTTTCGCCACCGCTTGGTCGTTCTCAGTTTAATTAACTTCGACCTCGCGTTGTAGGCGTTCAGGTTGGGTTCGGATCAAAGGGATGGTACGCAGGATAACATAAATAACAGGAAAATTTCATCACATGTGACGCGTTAAAATGTAACAATGGTGAATCGATAGTTTCTAACTCTGCTCTCTACTTCATGCGTTTTCGTTACTATATTTCTGTTTAAACATTTCTTTCAAAAAGAATGGATGAATTGTTATCTTTGTAAACAAACTCACGATTGAAATAAATATTGAGAGACTGATGTTACTTAAATTAGGGCAATTCCGTAGAGGAATTAAAGAGAAGATCAATAAAACTTGTTATTTAAATTCTCTTTCCATTACTATCCATAATTCTTTGACCCATTTCCATCTTCGTTTATCTTTCATTGTTCGCTCTTCATTCTCCTCCTTCAACGATTATCGTTTCTGATTCCAACATCCTCGATCTCTATTCCCTCTTCAAGCACCTCCTTAACTCGGTATCCTCCAGTTCTTCCTGTAATGCGCGCCACTCGGTCTCCACTCTCCATTTTGTTTTCATGTTTCATACCTCACTTTGTCGCTCTTTGTTAGCTTGCTTTGCATTCTTCGACTTTCGTTTCTCTTTTACCCTCTGCTCATTAACCGACACTCTTTTTATTCCCCACTTCGTTTCGCTTCTTACCCCTCTCGCTCCTCACTTTTTTTTTTCTCTTTTACGCAACCCTTATTGTTCACTTTTTCCTCGGTTTTCTTTCCGTCGTGTTTTTCTCTGTTCCCGAGTTTAACATGCGGTAAACACTCCGTGTCCTGATGGCTCGCACTCGCAACTGTTCGAGCATTCAATTACGCCCACCGCTGAATATTAAACCCTTGTTAAAAAGAAAGACCGGAGCGAGGTTGCCCGAAAACCTTCCCCCGGCAATTAGAGGCGGAACATTCTACGAAATGCTCGAGGACTAAGCAGAAATTAAATTCAATTTTTTTTCTCGAACATTGAATCGAATCTTTCTTTTCAAATGTTTAACGGCACGAGTGTTTTATACTTTTGGCTGTACCAAATTTCATGCATTCCTAATGAACCACCTCCGAGACGTGGAACAAAACAGAGGCGAGCATGATCTCGATTTCAATTGGGTCTCTTGAGTCAACGACTCTCGAGGTACAGAGAAAAATACTAATTGGAGAGAGTATTTTAAGTATTAGAGAGACTATTTTAATTGTTACGCGTCCATGACGCGGGAGCGTCAAAGAGCTAAAAATTGTCGAAAAATGTGAAAAACACGAATGGGAGAGGGGTAGTTTTGATCGATAGCTATACGAAAAAATTATTTTCAGATTTCCAGGTGACGGTGGAACACTGTTCGCGTCCAGAAACCGTGTCAAATTCCTCGTGGCT